TATACAACACAGGATACTCCACGGGTTGGGTTTGAGCAGACAATAGACAGCTCCATGTATAAGGAGAAGTAATCAATCTACAACTGGTGAGAGTGTTATTTGTCATGTGGAGAAAGTCCACGACTGAGGCACGTATTGTGTGTGGTCTTGACGGCTTGCTGGGAACTGGCTAGGTCATCTCAACCATTACATCGACGAAAGCGAATAAAACTTCAAACAAAATTTGAATTAAATTAAGTTGAATTAATAATATCGACGCGTTTGATCTCGAGTATTTGATCCTGGTTGTAAAATGTATAAAAATATATTTTATACTTGTTTCATAATATCCAATACAATATGAGTGTCCCCGTGACATGACATGGGTCTTCAAAGGCTACATAATTACCAGTTGGCGTTGTAGTGTAGTGTGATTCTCACACTAGTCACTCTTTATACTTCTGTTATTGGCTTTACATAGAGCAGCCCCACAACAGTGTTGTACAATCTAAGGCTGTGGGCCCGGGATATCGATGGTTACAACTCGAAGAATTCCATGCTGGTGCATTGTGTATATTAACAATGTATGTCATATATTGTATCACTGTTTACTCGTGTGAGTATTGGGGATGAATGGATGGATCAGTGAATGGATGGAACGGGTTATGTTTGTATTTTTATGAGCACGCCAGTGGACATAAGTTGACGGGACAACATGTGAACAGTAAAAGATATAATGCACTTTACTGTATCTTAAAAGTATAGAACCTTTATCGACATCTCAACTGTTTTTTTTTCAGGATATAACATTACAATCAAAACTGGGTGAGATCTTGGAATACATTATATTAGTGAGATCTTGTCGACCATGTCCAATAGAAAGATAGAATACGTCACAGCTCTGTTAGGGAATACATTACATTACTGAGATCTTGTCGAAAAGGTCCAATAGAAAGATGGACTACGTCACAGCTCTGTTAGGGAATACATTACATTAATGAGATCTTGTCGACCATGTCCAATAGAAAGATATAATACGTCACAGCTCTGTTAGGGAATACATTACAGTAATGAGATCTTGTCGATAATGTCCAATAGAAACATAGAATACGTCACAGCTCTGTTAGGGAATACATTACATTAGTGAGATCTTGTCGACCATGTCCAATAGAAAGATAGAATACGTCACAGCTCTGTTAGGGAATACATTACATTAATGAGATCTTGTCGATAATGTCCAATAGAAACATAGAATACGTCACAGCTCTGTTAGGGAACACATTTCATTAGTGAGATCTTGTCGACCATGTCCAATAGAAAGATAGAATACGTCACAGCTCTGTTAGGGAATACATTACATTAATGAGATCTTGTCGACCATGTCCAATAGAAAGATATAATACGTCACAGCTCTGTTAGGGAATACATTACAGTAATGAGATCTTGTCGATAATGTCCAATAGAAAGATAGAATACGTCCAAGCTCTGTTAGGGAATACATTACATTAGTGAGATCTTGTCGACCATGTCCAATAGAAAGGTAGAATACGTCACAGCTCTGTTAGGGAATACATTACATTAGTGAGATCTTGTCGATCATGTCCAATAGAAAGATAGAATACGTCACAGGTCCGTTAGGGAATACATTACATTAGTAAGATCTTGTCGATCATGTCCAATAGAAAGATAGATTATTACCCATACGGGTGAGGAGATCCTGTGTAATATCTTTTTGATATTTGCACAGTGTGCAATTTAGTGATTCTTGACGTTGATTGGTTGATCGTATATTTGTACATTTTAATTGGATGCCGGAACTACTTTCACACACTACGTTCATTCATAAAGTTTCATCGATTCATTGATAAATTGACATTATGTAATGTAATCACACATTCCGAGATCTAAAAAAGAAAACATGAAGGTTAAAGAATATGAATATTCTTTTTATTAAACATTATTATTTTGGAATAAAACTGCGTTATAAATAGTACTAGTCTTTTTAAATTATATAATCTTTAAAAAACCCACCAAACAATCGTTTGCATTGTTTGTAAACAAACATGGCCGCCGTTAGGCTAACCCCGATCAAGGTCACTTACCTAGTTAAAGTTGACGGTGACCAAATAGGAAGAGTGATAAGAATTTTACAGCCCTTGAATTCCCAAAACCTGTTTGTTGTTGAAACTGAATTCGGGGAAATAGAAACAGCAAGATACCGACTAAAGATGTTATCTGAAAGTGTAACAAGTAAGTCGGACACGGCGTCCATGCCATCCAACCAGAAAACACCTCCTTTTTTTACCGGAATCAGTGCTAAATGTTCTTCTTCAAGATGACATTTTATATCCATGCATCCCTAATCAATCTGAGAGGTTGGTCCCAGTAGCCGATGCAGAGATTGACACATTTCATAGACTCGGATTCCGACTAGAGTTATCCTTCTTGGAACTGCTGTACTCTACTGAGACGAGAGTGTAACACGCCTTCCACAGAACAAAATGTTGTTTTATCTTCAAACTTGTTGAGTTTCTTGACAGAAAACTTTTTCTAGATGTATTCGTGGGATGGTTGTCTTTTTAGATTTCCCAACTTTTAACCGTTGACTTTCCCAAAAATTGACAGGATTTTGCCAGAGTGTGTTTCAACACTACACCGTCACCCGTCACTAGAAAACACGTCAGTCGTGAATGAACGATGTTCCGTCGCACTGACTTGATCGAATAAATGTTTAGCTCTTATTAAGTTCAATGATATATTTAAAAGATCATTTTTATCATATTAACAAATGTTAATTAATTATTCCAGGCATAATAATTTTGTTGTATCTTAAAGCGATTTTATTATGTACTATTTCCATAGCGAAGTTATGTTATTACCGCTGGAGAAGCTAGGTTTAATACGCGCATGAATACGAATCAGCTGTTTAAGGTCACAAGTCCTGTCTCCGGGTGGTTTTTATTTCGTGGCTCTTCCTTTTAAATTACATTATGGGTAATAAATAGAGTAACCAACGAGGTACGAGTGATTACGGGAAATATGCCCTCGTTAAAATAATGTTCAGTGCCTCGCCAAGGCTCGGCACTGTGAACATTATTTCAACTCGGGCATATTTCCCGTAATCACTCGTACCTCGTTGGTTATTCTCTAAATACGTCACAGCTCTGTTAGAGAATACATTACAGTAGTGAGGTCTTGTCGACCATGTCCAATAGAAAGATAGAATACGTCATAGCTCTGTTAGGGAATACATTTCATTAGTGAGATCTTGTCGAAAAGGTCCAATAGAAAGATAGAATACATCACAGCTCTGTTAGGGAATACACTTCATTAGTGAGATCTTGTCGACAATGTCCAATAGAAAAATAGAATACGTCACAGCTCTGTTAGGGAATACACTTCATTAATGAGATCTTGTCGAAAAGGTCCAATAGAAAGATAGAATACGTCACAGCTCTGTTAGGGAATACATTACATTAGTGAGATCTTGTCGAAAAGGTCCGATAAAAAGATAAAATACGTCACAGCTCTGTTAGGGAATACATTACATTAATGAGATCTTGTCGACAATGTTCAATAGAAAGATAGAATACGTCACAGCTCTGTTAGGGAATACATTACATTAGTGAGATCTTGTCGACCATGTCCAATCGAAAAATAGAATACGTCACAGCTCTGTTAGGGAATACATTACATTAGTGAGATCTTGTCGAAAAGGTCCAATAGAAAGATATAATACGTCACAGCTCTGTTAGGGAATACATTTCATTAGTGAGATCTTGTCGACCATGTCCAATCGAAAGATAGAATACGTCACAGCTCTGTTAGGGAATACATTACATTAGTGAGATCTTGTCGACCATGTCCAATCGAAAGATAGAATACGTCACAGCTCTGTTAGGGAATACATTACATTAGTGAGATCTTGTCGAAAAGGTCCGATAGAAAGATATAATACGTCACAGCTCTGTTAGGGAATACGTTACATTAGATAGTCCTTGATAACTGATCTAATGAATCCCTAATCACCATAGATGATCAGACCTGTTGTCCCACTAATATGGAACTGTTGAGAAAAACCATAAGGACTAAACTACACATCATTTTAAATGATGCACGGTAGATACTACATTTAGCTTTGTAAAATTTATATGTGCTGGGTTACTTTTCGTGCACAGTGAATGTACTGCCACACGTGTGTTTTAAATACAGTATCGTTCTTCCTATCACTATAAAGTAGGGAGGTGAAGGCAATACCCACCTGTACAGGTAATTACCTTCAAGGAAGCCACCTACCCCGTGTCTGTGTCCAGTTTAAGGCCAAACAGTGAACTACTGAACCCATGTTATTGGCGAGTGAGATCGCCGCCCTTGCTCCTCTCACATATGTATCTCACATTACACAGCAATAAATAGAAGCCACGAAACTCTTCAGACATCCATAAGTAATCTGCTAAGACAGAGTCGTTTGTACTATAAAACTGTCAAATTCCCGAGGATGGTGAGCTAAACTGTGGAGAATATATACTGAAATATCAAACAAAACACGCACAAGATGTAGAAAGCAACTGGAGGGCAACCATTGTCTGAATGAACATTTATTTCCAGCTGCTAATTGCTATGTAGCCATGACATATGATCACCACCCAACCTACATCTGTGTCTCTTCACTTTAAATAATATTGTTAACATTTATGACTTAATCCTTGGCAGATGATCATGGATACATAAGCCTTAGTCCAGAGACACTTAGCGTAACAGGACACGGTGCTGTGGGAAGCAGCACAACTGCTACCATGTGCTGACATAGTTCTCCATGTATATATATACCTGTATATAGTTCAAACTTGTATCTATCGCACGTACGACTTGTTTCCACTCGGAGCACCGTAACGCATTGTGGTTGGAATATGACAATAATCACAACCGATGTTACATGTAACGCACGGTTGTCGCGCGTTGTTTAAACTACCTGTATATCTTTTGAGATCATTCTGCAACAGGACGTTGTAAGATCTTACCAAATGCGTGACATTCCTTCTTCAGAGTGAAAGAAATCGGCGTGCCTTCCAAGGCGAGACCGCTTCTGTTGTTGTAGATTCTGAGTCCCAGCAGGAGGGATGCCACGCCTTTCTCCTTCCCCGTACAGGGTATAGACATCTGAAACACTAAGAATAAACCTTTCCTGAACACCACGGCACTAACTGCAAAACGTAACCAGAGGCCCCACCTTACAACGCAACATACACACTCTAAATGTAACATACCAACTACTGTCCTGAGAAACACAACAACAACAACAACAACAACAACTGCAGGGCACATAGAAGTGATACACACCAGGAACACATTGTTTGGATATCAGCTTCTATATTTGTTAATCAAGACGTTTCAGGGTCAGTTCTTACTCCTTCAGGTTCACCTGAATTACAAATACAGAGGTTGATACCCAAAACACTAAACTGTGCAGTGTAAAACTTCACCAACTGTACAGTTTAACATCGTCAACTGTACAGTTTAGCACATCGCCAACTGCAAAGTGCAATACGCCACGACTGTACAGTCGAATACTTCACAACTGCACAATTTAACACACCATCAGCTGTACAGTGTAATACTTATAATTAACCAACTGCACTGTGCAAAACATCACCAGTCGTATAACTAGACACATCACCCACTGTAAATTATAACCCTGTGTATAACGTACTCACCACCCAGTGTATAACGTACCCACCACCCAGTGTATAACGTACTCACTACCAAGTGTATAATGTACTCACCACCCAGTGTATAACGGACTCACCATCCAGTGTATAACGTACGCACCACCCAGTGTATAACGTACTCACCACCCAGTGTATAACGTTCTCACCACCCAGTGTATAACGTTCTCACCACCCAGTGTATAACGTACTCACCACCCAGTGTATAACGTACCACGCACCACCCAGTGTATAACGTACTCACCACCCAGTGTATAACGTACGCACCACCCAGTGTATAACGTACTCACCACCCAGTGTATAACGTACTCACCACCCAGTATATAACGTACTCACCATCCAGTGTATAACGTACTCACCATCCGGTGTATGACGTACTCACCATCCGGTGTTTGACGTACTCACCACCCAGTGTATAACGTACTCACAACCCAGTGTATAACGTCCTCACCACCCCGTATATAACGTACTCACCACCCTGTATATAACGTACTCACAACACCGTGTATAACGTACTCCCCACCAAGTGTAGAACGTACTCACCACCCAGTGTATAACGTACTCACCACCCCGTATATAACGTACTCACAACCAAGTGTAGAACGTACTCACCACCCAGTGTATAACGTACCGTAAAATGTTACTACCTGTACAGCATTACAGGTGAACAGTGCATATTGCGGATCTGCCCTCCGTAAAGTTGTCAACTTTTGGAACATACCAGATAACAGATGCTTTCAACTGGCGACATATGACAGACTGTGATGGTTTCTACGCCGTGGGTTATTCACACTCAGGTATTCGTTTCAATGAACATGTTTTTCTTTGTTATTTTGATGTTAACTGCTGGGAATAATGAAGTAGACACTGCTGTTTGATGGAGGCTGAGCATGAAACAATGAATGGTTGATGGATGATGATGTTTGATGCACGTATTATAATTGTATTTTGGAGTTAAGTTAATGTTTCGGCGATTGTTTTAGCCTATTCTGGTTTTATTAACGTCAGAATCTTTTTTCAAATATTATGTTCAAGTGTGTACTTCCTTTTCGCAGGCAGTTTTTTTATCGAGATGTATGACATTTCCCACATACAGTTTATATTAGCGCCACTAAAATTGCATTTGCAACTTCTGTAATCAACGAGGTTCAGAATAAATATTATCCCCATGATTAAACAAGAAAAGAGAACAATTTTATTTCCAAATTCTTGTTTGAATTCAAAGAAAATCCCTTCATTCTGCAAATGGTCCTTGAAGGATTGGTAGTTGATGTAGAAGTGTTGTGAAATAGCGGCAGCAATTTAAACAAGTTAAGTGCATCCAATAGTAACTTTGATCCTAATCTCATTCCTCACTGAGCAAATATACAGAACTGCGTTACTCAAAATGTCGTTCTTATACGAAACGGTTAGTGTTTGAGTGCATATTCCTGGCCGTTATTGGTGGCCATTGTTTCTCTAGTTTATGTAAACAACAGTGTTGGCGTGTTTGAGCCCCGTGTCATAGGCTGCATCTACACATCACAAAACACTACATATATCAATGAAAGACAACATACATCACACATAATGTTTCTCGCTGATTGTAAGCCTGACAGTGTGATATTTGACGGGTTCTTGTACATGAAACTTCATTTCCTCCCTTTGTTTTGTTGGAGAAGTGACATGGGGCTCCAGGTTCTCGTCGCTTTAATAGACAGGAATCAGATCGTGGAATGATACCGCTCCAGAAGCTTTCTAGTCTGTTATGGTGCGTGAATATACCACTTTCTGACATGAGGAAATCTTAATCACGATAAGCCTCGCTCCAAACGCTTTGTAACGCCCTATCAAGATTAGAAAAGCAAGCTTGACATCTGCAACGGCCAATCAAGATAAGCGGTAGAAACATGGCTCTTATAACAGCCAATCATGATAGCCGGTAGATTTAATGGCAATGCCATACAATTAAAATAAAAAACCCCAAAGATTCTTCTTTAATAATACAGCTACGATGCTCTGTAGCTCACCTGAATTATAAAGAATTGTTTTGTAATGTATATTGTCAGTTATTTTGCGGCTTACATTGTGAGATAAATGAGAACTGGTGGATCAGAATCAAGGAAACAGCAAACAATATTTTATAGTTACCTCTATGACAGCGAGGTTGTCTGCTGGTCGTGGTGCCTTGAACAACATTGGATCTTATAGTTTATAACTAAACGTTTACAGCACCCTGTGGTTCTTGAAAATATGACCCAAAACCTTTCCCAGCTGAGCAGATTGAAGAATTAGTGTAAATTTCCAAAGATTAAAGTTAATGACAGATTTCACCGTCATTAGTCCAGCATTATCACATTAGATACTTGAGAGAACGGTAAAATGCAAAGGACAGTGGTCAAAGGTTATTGGGCCTAAAAGAGTAATGTAACCTCGAAGTAGTCCGTCACAAGAAATATACCTTTCTTTAAAAGGTTGTAGGTTCCTTACTCTTGCTAGGACAGTCGAAGAACTGATGGGTGTGTTGACGGAGACAGTGGAAATGAGTTAAACGAAACACCTCTCAAATTGGCCAAAGTGCTGACCCGCCGTCCGTTTACAGATTTGACCTGCTTGACCCTGTTTTACTGTCCTCTCAGATATTTGAAGAAATACGATGGTGAAAGTGGCAGTCTCCCAATGTCGCTCGTACAATTCTTGTTAGAAATTCAGTTTGGTTTCCATGGCAATTAAAGAAGAACGGGTGATTTACATATTTCAAATCTGATCGGAACCCAGTAGGTATTTTCTAAAGACACTTTAATTAAGACGATTCACACAAAACCGCGGCATCTGGACACTATCGTTTAAGAGGCAATTTCCCATACAAGTAGATGAAAGGCAACTGGACGTACAAAGAGACGGATAAAGCGGTCGTCTTTGTTTCAGTCAGGTGAGCTGAAGAACTATAATACTCATGCACTAAGGAAAGATATGGGTTTTCTATTAAGTTACTACTAAGCTGAGTGATTATTGAGTCTCGGCTAATCCCAATGCTATTCCCAAGCCCAATACCCCTACAAATAATAGGTAGCGTATTCATTCTATATAACTTCAATTCATGACTACTGTACGCGAGATTAAACGAGAACTGGGAGCTGGAGAAGGAACACTGTCTATCGGCTAGGACGTTCCCAGCAGTTCGTGGAGACAGAGTCGCGCTGCTTCTTCTGTGGATGAAACACAGCCGTGGAAGAACATCCCTGTAGCCGTGTCTAGCACCGTCCCAGCTGAGATAGACCCCGGTGGGTGTACATTGCTGCCGGAGATAGCGCGGAGATCGAATGATTCAGTCACATACTCGGCATCCCGATTGGAAAGGATCCCCTTGCCTTGCACGTAGGGTTAAGGCGTAAAAGGGTAATTTGAGAAAAAATATTGCTTGAAATTGATGCTTGTTAAATCAGCAGGCCGCGATGATATGATTGGCCGATAGCACACGATAAAAGTTAGCCGGCGTAATTTCCCCGGATGTGGCGTGTTTCCCAATTCTGTGTATCATTTCTAGACAAATATACAAGGTGTTTTACTTAATGATTCAGCAGGCTTGTTTATCGCGCCAGGCAGACAGTTGGGGTAGAATAACAAACACGCATTGTCTACCACACGGAGGGGAGCACTATTTACTTAGCGCCATTTCCTCGACTGAGACGTAAGTGCAGTTCACGTTGCAGTTGTCAAACACTGATGTGGGTAGGAACAGGGAAAGGGAGAACAGGGAGAGGGAGGGAGGGGAGAGAGGCGACGATGTGTGTGTGTGTGTGTGTGTGTGTGTGTGTGTGTGTGTGTGTGTGTGTGTGTGTGTGTGTGTGTGTGTGTGTGTGTGTGTGTGTGTGTGTGTGTGTGTGTGTGTGTGTGTGTGTGTGTGTGTGTGTGTGTGTGTGTGTGTGTTTTGTTTTTTTTGCTGGAAAAGGGCCGAGAGAGAGGATAGGGATTGGATGGGCAATTTACTTGCATTTATCAGTCCTACATTTTCTGATTCTGTGAGCCTGTATCGAGCAGGGACAGGGAGGCTGGGGACAATGTAGAGGCAAATGTGGCGATCCGGGAGGTGCTCTAAGGAGCGGCTTAGGAAATGTTGCAACACTGACATAATCCAAATATAAATATCAATATCAGCTGTTCTAGAAACCCGGAAATGATTGCTTTTTCTTCATGATTTGAGTGGTATTACATAGTTTATGGATTACATAGACTGCAGCTTAATTTGACTCCTCCTCGTCAATACTGTGGGTGTCCTATTATATATATATACAGAGAGAGAGAGAGAGAGAGTGTGGGTGTCCTATTATATATATATACAGAGAGAGAGAGAGAGAGAGAGAGAGAGAGAGAGAGAGAGAGAGAGAGAGAGAGAGAGAGAGAGAGAGAGAGAGAGAGAGACATATCGACCTGTAGACTGAAAATATACCCATGTATTTTCACCTTCAGACTTCGTATATATAGGACATTTAGACCTTTACAGTAAGGATATGCACATTTATTTTCACCTTCAGACTGGGCAAAGGTCAAGTTGACCTTTGGACTGGGTATATAATAGGTCAGGTTGACCTTCTGACTTTTTGACTAGGTAGGGTATATGTAGGTCATGGTTGACCTTTAGTTATTTTGGACGTTGACCATCATGGCTAGATGTAGGTCCTGTTCACCTTTCGAATACGATTCTTGACCTTAAGACTAGATCAAGATGATGTTGACTTTAGACTATGTCAACGCGATTATGACCTTTAGCCCGCGGCGACATTGACCTCTGGTGGATGTTATGGCCGTTGCCCATGTTGGGGTTAATCTAATCTGGACTTTCATTATTTTCTTAGCATAACACTTTCTTGCAACACCTTTCTGCTTCTAACAAATAAGTGTATACACATTTGTACAGTTGTACTTTCAGGTGTTCGCTGTACATAGTGTGTTGTCTGGGATAACCACAGCAGTTACGATACAGGCTAAGAAAAAGCGTATTACCAGCGTATACCGTCACGTGTGGGTATATTATAAACCGTGAGTATATTGACTCACAGTAGGGTGGGCCCTGGTTTGGTCGCCCGTACATTTTATACTGTAACTCTCTGGAAATCAATGGTCGGGTCCGCCATGGAAGTTTACTAAGACTGGTTCACCATGTCTGTCTGTTCCGTGCTCAGTGTAAGCCCTTTCATTATCTCTGCTTCGATGTGTCATTGCAAGACTTGAATCCTTATCTAGTTTGTAGGTGCAATGTTTCTAGCTGCTCTGTTTCTATTTTAAGTCGCATCCAGTCACTGATAATTAATGAACGAGATAATAGGAAGACCGTGAGGACTGACTGGTGACCAGTATCCTCCATCACATACCTCTGTAGTTAATTACACCCTGGCCCGCAGCAACCCACACATACATCATATACACACACTCCTCTCCGCACACAATGGAACACTTCTAAAACCATGACCAAGCTCAATAAATTTCTATTTGCATTTCATCGCGTTCTTGAGTTTCCTGAGCAGGTGTTTGTAGACGACATAAAGGGGAAGTAATCATCACAGAAAGGGTATGACCTGAGACTCCGCTGTCCCCCAAACAGAACGTATTTATAACGCCGTGCCCCCGCAACATACCCCTCCTGCTACAGGTGGACGTGTGATGTGGCGTCAACATGTCTTATCTTGCTCTATTGCAGCGTGTTTAATCATGTGGTGAAATACACTGCACCAGCTACACCTACAGCCATCAGTTATTCTCACAGGTTGATCGGTGGACACAATGTACAAAAGTCACCTTCCCTAGATCCGACTGCTTTCACTCACACGACCCTGCCTTTACTCACACGACTCTAACCAACGCCATGCTCTCCCCCCACACGACTCTAAGCACAGCCATGTTCTGCCCTCACACGACTCTAACCAACGCCATGCCCTGCCCTCACACGACTCTAACCAGAGCCGTGCTCTGTCCTCACACAACTGTAACTAACGCCATGCTCTGCCCTCACACGGCTCTAACCAACGCCATGCTCTGCCCTCACACGGCTCTTACCAAAGCCATGCTTTGCTCTCACGCGACTGTAACCAACGCCATGCTCTGCTCTCACACGGCTCTAACCAAAGCCATGCTTTGCTCTCACGCGACTGTAACCAACGCCATGCTCTGCCCTCACACGACTCTAAGCACAGCCATGCTCTGCCCTCACACGGCTCTAACCAACGCCATGCTCTGCTCTCACACGGCTCTAACCAACGCCATGCTTTGCTCTCACGCAACTGTAACCAACGCCATGCTCTGCCCTCACACGACTGAAGTCACTGCCATGTTGTCCTCACTAATAAGACACCCTACTCCTTTCATCCTACTGGAGACACCTACCTTCTCTGCCCTTTCATCCTAGTCTAGACACCTACGTTCACTATCCATTCATCCTACTCGAGACACGTACGTACTCTGTCCTTTCATCCTAGTCTAGACACCTACGTTCTCTAACCAATCATCCTGGTCTAGACACCTACGTTCTCTATCTAATCATCCTAGTCTAGACACCTACGTTCTCTATCCAATCCTCCTCTTCGAGACACCTACGTTATCTATCCAATCATCCTAGTCTAGACACCTACATTATCTATCCAATCATCCTACTCGAGACACCTACGTTATCTATCCAATCATCCTAGTCTAGACACCTACGTTCTCTATCCAATCATCCTACTCGAGACACCTACGTTATCTATCCAATCATCCTAGTCTAGACACCTACATTATATATCCAATCATCCTACTCGAGACACCTACGTTATCTATCCAATCGTCCTACTCGAGACACCTACATTATATATCCAATCATCCTACTCGAGACACCTACGTTATCTATCCAATCATCCTAGTCTAGACACCAACGTTATCTATCCAATCATCCTAGTCTAGACACCTACGTTATCTATCCAATCATCCTACTCGAGACACCTACGTTCTCTATCCAATCATCCTCCTCGAGACACATACGTTCTCTGTCCTTTCATCCTCCTCGAGACACATATGTTCTCTGTCCTTTCACCCAACAGGCATCTACCTTCTACGTCGTCATTCCCCCGGCTCTCACTACCTCTCGCAGACCTTATGGATCTACACTCTTCCGCCAGAAGAGGCACTATGCCATCATTGACTCTGGAACCCCATTGTACAAGATAACATTGAGATCTTTTCCTTGGATAATCCATGTTTGGGTGATACTTTTTTTCTATGATTGTATATAGAGTAAGAAAAATAATATTCCATTCACAACGTATTTTGAATTTCGTGCAAACACGTCAACTCCGTGCAAGCGTTTTTATGATGTGCACGTAAACATGGTAAGGGTAAAATTCGAAATTTACAGTGAAACGCAACTGAAGGTATTTTGACATGCTGGGTCTGTGGCGTCAGGAACGGCTACAACAATTGACATGTTGCAGGCTGGAACAAGACAGAACATAGTGGCACAAGATCATAACGTTTCGCAGTAAGTAATAACTAGATTATAACCACGGTATCGACTGACAAGTAACGTTGATGGCAAACATGGATCCTGTCGACCAAGGGCGACAACTAGCGAAAGAAACCGTTTGATCAGAACGACTGTGCTACGAAACTGAGACCAAAGTGCCGCTCATGCTGGAGATGAACTTCACAGATGTACAGATGTTGGAGTGAGTCGAGAGACTATTTGTTGTCCGACGTCCATGTGTTATCCCACGATTGACGGACCGTCACAGTATTGATGGTGTCAACTGCGGCAGCGCTGGACCAATTGTCGTCGACCAATCGTTCTGTTTTCGAATGAATCAAGGTTTACTTTGGACTAGTATGGCACAGACAGACGGTATGAGTGTTTTCATGCCGTTTACGTCAGACAGAACGATTGTTTTGAGTGTGGCTCAGTTGTGGTGTAGTTTGGGATCACTGTGACTGGCAGAACACCTCCACATGCTATTCACAGACGTGTCACTGGGCAGTAGTACCATGACATCCTGGAGCCACACGTCACGACATGGACGGTGTTTTGTGATTCAAGATTACAACGCAAGAGCACACAGGGGTCCTATTGTTACTGAGTACTTCCAACTGGAGAACATACCATGGCCAGCACACAGTCCAGGCCTGTCACCCATCACGCATGTCTGTTATCTCATGTGTCACCGTCAACAACATCCGACCACTCGCAATGAATACTGCGCTTCCCTGAAGGAAGAATGGCACAGAATGAATCAAGTTGACATTGGACGTTTGATTAGGAGTATTCCTCGTCGAATCCGGGATTGTTTTGAGAATAGAGGCGGAATCACGCGATATTAAGAAGCTTGATACTGTATGGTACATGACGTGATGGGGAGTAGCACACTCCAATCATCTAACAAACTCTATGTCTCCAAAGTACAACAAAATTCTCCTTTGACTCAACTATACGTGCAAACTATATGCCCCTTTAGTGTAAACCTGCGGTCAGGACCATTATCGTAGAGACGACGATCAATGACCTTGTAACACGTTATGTACTACCTTCGCGTACAAACCGTACTTAGACAGAAGAGACGGCCAAGATCATCGACATGAGCGGACGGATTGTACAGCTAGTCGCATCACCATCGACGGCGTAGACAATGAAGAATCGTGGGTCGGTACGGCTCTATTGAATCGCGTGATCAAGTGTGTCTCTAACTAAGAGAGATGACATATGGGTTCATATGGTTCCGTGGAAATATTTACAAGAAAAAATAGTGGTTTACATGAGGAAACGCAAATAGAAGCGATTGCATGAGTCTGATATTCTTATCTTCCAGCAGCAAGTCAGCAATCATGTCACTGCCATTCTTTTCAAAATCAATTACACTTTCAATATCCAGACAAAACAACACTTAGCCTCAATTAGCCCCAAAACTGATCCCATGATGACGGAACTGAAGCGCCAACTATGGCTGATGACGTCATTCGAGGCCACACTGACCTCTGTCGTGTTCTGCTCACCAAAAGTTGTATTCATCTTAAGGGGATTGATTTACAGATATCATCGCCTATCATAATAATGACAAAGTCTTTACACTCCAGCTATAATAACAATAACGCTTTATTTTGGGACATTACCAATCGCTGAAGCCCTGCCTGTTAAACCCACCTCCAGTAAATGGCAGACCCAGGGCTTCTGTGACTGGTAATGACACAAAGGGTAGCGTTACTCGTACATTGCATGTTTATATCAGCTGCCCGTATTTTGGTGTGTTAGATGTGTGTGTTGTTGTTGCACGTGTGTACGAGAGAACACTGTCCACGTACCTGTCTGTCCGTGCGGTATCCAGCCCTGGGTAGGAATGCTTAGTAAAGGGTTATACAGCAGGGAGGTATTCAGGGACGTCAGGTTCTCGAACCAGTACTTGAACTGTAAACACAAACACCAGTCGATTTATGTGACGAAAAGAGACATACAGCCGAGCCAAATCCCGACATCACCAATACCAACAATACCAACAATATCATGACAGGTGGGCAAAGACACGCCAAGATGCCAAGTCAGAGAAAATATATCAGTTATATCATTAAAGTCAGCTTACGCGAATGACAGGGGTATGTCATGATGAACAGTCTAACTATTCAATATTTGCAATGCCACATTCCGAGGTCTGTTACACCAAATACACCCTCTCTACTAGACTAACATTCTGTTTCTGAAATGAGCAAATTTTACAGAAAAATACTGTTCGTTAAAAACACATAAAAAATAATGAAAAGGAGCCCAGTGACTTTCTGCACCTGAAACTGTGGAAATCTAGATTTGCCACATATTCTAGACTTGCATGGGCTGCCTCTCTACTTGATATTGGGATTGTGTATCATCAATGAAGGCTCAATAAAAATGCCAGTGATGTCCTTCTGTGAAAAGTCGATGAGTTATCATCTAACTCACACATACCTTTTGATAAATGAACAAAATATGCTTCAGAACTAGCCAGGACAAGGAAAGACGGTACATGCAAAGTTATTTTGTGTGTGATATCCAAAATGATAGTGACACTTTAAAGATAATACTGAAATCATATTATACAGGTTTCCTGTTTCCACAGGCCTTCTTTCAGTGGCATATTAGAAGTTGGGAAGTACAACATTGAACAAACTTTATGGATATCCATAAAGTTGACACAGACGTGAGTGCTAACGAAATAAAAGAAGTTGATGTCCATAAAGTTGGCACAGAATAATTGAGGAAACCAAGAAAAGTCCCCACAGATCACGACTCATGCAGTGACATAACCTAGATAAACGCTTAGTTTTGAAAAAATTCAATTTTGATAGAACAAAAACAACTTAATTTAGTAATTTAGACTGGAAAAAGTGCGTCAGTAAGGTGAAACGATTCAGAACCTGGTGAAAATCTAGACTGGCTTCATTTAGGTTTTTCTCCTTACAGTAAGGAATGGAGGACATTAATATAATATGGATGACGGACCGTGAGACAGACTTATGACATGACAAGATGATATAATTGTTTCGCGTAATCTGACTGAAGCACACCCACTGTGAGCCAGTGTTTCCCAGTACTCATGGCTTGTACTCTGTGGGGGACAGAGGTTAACGCCGGCTTAACCCCAGCTTCCTTCTGTCTGCTCCCACTGAGTATGACACAAGAAGAGGTATCTGTCGACTTAAGCATGATGATGTACCCTCCATCACCTCATGTCACGCGGACTCGCTACATTGTTACTTAAACAGTATCTATATCACGAGTACCCACACTACTCAGCACTGGTCCGGCTGCCTGACCCCTCCCCTCACATGGAGAGTCGGTAGGGTCTCCCAAGGCATGTGAAATATGACTTTCTTCTACCAGCAGTGATGAGATGGTAACGTGACTGTTAACGTCCTCGGCAGATTGGGCAGCAAACTCACCATGGACCCTGACAATGGAAGTCAAATGCACACTGACCCATTGTTCGGGGTATTGCTGTAGTATTTTGAGCATGCTCTAGGGTATGGAGTTAGTGTATAACAGATATGTTCCCCTATCTGACGCCAATCCTCTGGCTTTCAAGCTGAACTCTAGCGAGATGCTAAAGATCCGACTTTATAGCCCTTGTCGTCAAGATGATCTCTGTAATATGATATGCATGTAACGGAGTATGCCCTGGCGGTCAAGCTGATCCATAACAAGGTGGTGGATAGCTAACGTTATACTGCCCTGGCCGCCATGCTGATCTCAAACAAGGTGGTGGATATCTAATGTTACACTGCCCTGGCCTCCTAGCTGATTTCTATCAAGGTGGTGGAATATCTAACGTTATACTGCTTTGGCCGTCAAGCTGGTTTCTAGCAAGGTGGTGAGTATCTACCGTTATATCACCCTGGCCGTCAAGCAGATTTCTAGCAAGGTGGTGGATATCTAACGTTATATCACCCTGGCCGTCAAGCTGATCTCAAACAGGTTGGTGGATATCTAACGTTATACTGCCCTGGCCGTCAAGCTGATTTCTAGCAAAGTGGTGGATATCTAACGGTATACTGCCCTGGCCGCCATGCTGATCTCAAACAAGGTGGTGGATATCTAATGTTACACTGCCCTGGCCTCCTAGCTGATTTCTATCAAGGTGGTGGAATATCTAACGTTATACTGCTTTGGCCGTCAAGCTGGTTTCTAGCAAGGTGGTGAGTATCTACCGTTATATCACCCTGGCCGTCAAGCAGATTTCTAGCAAGGTGGTGGATATCTAATGTTATATCACCCTGGCCGTCAAGCTGATCTCAAACAGGTTGGTGGATATCTAACGTTATACTGCCCTGGCCGTCAAGCTGATTTCTAGCAAGGTGGTGGATATCTAACGTTATATCACCCTGGCCGTCAAGCTGATTTCTAGCAAGGTGGTGGATATCTAACGTTATATCACCCTGGCCGTCAAGCTGATTTCTAGCAAGGTGGTGGATATCTAACGTTATATCAACCTGGCCGTCAAGCTGATTTCTAGCAAGGTGGTGGATATCTAACGTTATATCACCCTGGCCGTCAAGCTGATTTCTAGCAAGGTGGTGAGTATCTACCGTTATATCACCCTGGCCGTCAAGCTGATCTCAAACAGGTTGGTGGATATCTAACGTTATACTGCCCTGGCCTCCTAGCTGATTTCTAGCAAGGTGGTGGATATCTAACGTTATACTGCCCTGGCCTCCTAGCTGATTTCTAGCAAGGTGGTGGATACCAGCGTTAAACTACTCTGGCCGTTAAGCTGATCTCCAGCAAGGTGGTGGATATCTACCGTTATATGACCCTGGCCGTCAAGCTGAATCCTAGCAAGGTGGTGAGTATCTACCGTTATACTGCCCTTGCCTCATAGCTGATCTCTAGCAAGGTGGTACATATCTCGCTTGACATACTGCGATGAGAAACATATTGAGCATCATCTTCCAATGTAACAGGTTACCGATGTGTGCAGCTATTGTTGTACATGGAACCAAACCCACTCAGCCCCGTGGATAAATAAACTCATTTGTTATCAAAATGTTATCGGCCAGTTCCCTTTTCCCCTTGGGCAGACAGACCGAGCCTAGGAAGGTGTTCGCTTCACAATGACGGCCGATCGCTGACACCTACACCACGTGCTGATAATAACGGTCTCTTGCGACGGAAATGAGATACAAGTATCAACACTAGAGTAATAGTGATAGCTTCCATGCATGTTCCATGGCGGAACCCGCTCTCACTGGAACACACTACGAGAACACAGCACGAGAACACCAGGCAGTGTTCAACCACACTACAGCATTCCAGCCGTCTGACAATGCATGAAAGTATGCTTATTGAAAAGTATATCTGACTAAATAAGTACGCTGAAGGTGTTCGTAGTATGAATCAGAGAATCACTGGGTTCTGCGACGGGGGAACACGAGGTGCTGAGGTTTGGTAATGGAGGACCCGTAGTCCCAGATATACCTCCACTGACCAACACTTTCAAAGACATACAATCGTGCATGACACAGGGATAAAGTAATGCGATGTAACAAGCCGTGCATGGATCACGAGTCTGTTGTACATCAGGGTGCCAGCCAGCACCAGATTATGGTTTTCTACACGCACTAAAAGGTAGTGGCTCCTTCCAGGAATGAAGTGAATACAGAGAGAAACAGTGTATGTAGAGGAATAGTGTGTACAGGCTGTGATACCGTGTACATACAGTATTACCCAGTACTTATAATGATGCAGTAAGTGAGTGAGTGAGTGAGTTTAGTTTTACGCCGCACTCAGCAAAATTCTAGCTATATGGCGGCGGTCTGTAAGGCTATGCGTCGCTCATGTAGTATGACAGAACATGAAAAGTACGGCGCCAGTATACCTCATACTTCCAACTCAGGGTGGCAACCTCCCCACCCATCCTCTCCTCTCCTGTTCCACACTCGCACCCGTCAGGATCCGGGTTAGAATTGGTCTTAAGCAGCATGCTTATCTTAAGAGGCGACTGTCGGGTGGTCTGTCCAATGATTTGGTTGATGTATGACATCGTATCCAAACTGCGTAGATTGATGCTCATAATGTCAGTCACTGGATTGTCTGGTCCCGATTCGATTATTTACAGACTGCTGTCACATAGATGGAATATTGCTGAGTGGTGTTAAACATCAAACCAAACCAACCAAACACACACTCGCAGACTGTATACACCATTCGTTGTGGAAAGGTGGTTTATGGTCAGGCTACCTTATGACCAGCAGCATTATTAAGAGGTTTATGACGGATAATATATTGTTATGATCTTCTTATTATGAATGTCACTCTGTTTATGGCAAAAGTCGCAATAAAATGTCCACTATCAATCTGTGTTGGGCTGGTCACACGGGAAGCCAGTTGAAGCAGCACTTTACACCTTTGTGGGGGACAATAGCAAAATATACAAATTCAAACTGAGTTTATTCAGATGAATAAGGTGTTCTATCAAAAAATGTGTTACACAATAATGCAACTGACTGTGAAGTTGTATTTTTTTCTTGTTTTCTGCAATATCTATGTGTAACCACCCTCTAACACGCTAATACGGATAATTGTTAACAACTTCAAATGGAACGATACTTTCAGGATAAACAGCGTTCTGTTTACAAGTAGGGCACTTAACCTACAACAGAATACCCTAAAACAATATGATAATCGACAGTATACAGAACGGTGAGTATCAGATGGATCAGTATTACCGAGTCGGTGAATCTACGTTAAGAGTGACGTGAATACTACCAATACAACACCACCAGGTTTCTCAACCAGCATCGCGCTGTAACAAGCAAGTTGAGAGTCTGCCTAGGAAGTACAGCTCTGTCGGCCAAGTTCAAACAACTAAGATAGGTAGAGGGAGGGGGTGGGTCGTTCTGGGGCAATGGAGGGAACGCGGCGTGACGCGACCACCCGGG